AAAACTTTTGACTGGTAGTGTAGGCTGATTATTCTTATAGATTGAAACAAATGTGCTTTAGCCAGTATAAAGGGTATGAAAGGTGCTCTGAGTTTCTGCAAAAAAATAAAATAAAGAGCTACAACAAAAACATGTTGCTGGAGACGGGCTTATTGAAAATTGAAAAACTGATTGTCTGCCAGCAGGAGGTGCATTGAGAGCGGTAGAACTAGCGGTTTCTCCGGTAACGGCTGTAATCAAAGCAGCTCCACTCATAAACGCTACTTTATCAGATCAAATGAAAATGCCATCGAAACTTTTCTGAAGACAGTCGGTTCCCTTCAGAAATGTATTCATATAAAACACCCGCGCCGTGTTATGATTTTGAAACGTGCAGTGCTCATGTTTATTCAACGAAGTCAAACGCCACAAATAAATCAATGTATGGGAAACACTGGTAATGTATATCGGAAATGTGTTTAAAAATCATATCACCGTTATTGAGAAAAATTATGTCGCGATACATATTGATATTGAATTATTGTCCAGCCCTAGTTTTAGCTGTCTTAACTGAAAGCAACTTGAATCTTAAAATATGTCAGTGCGATTGATTTGTATCAAGATGCACACCAGTAGTGATTTTTTTTTTCCTAAACTAACCTAATTTTTGTGCCGAACATTTGTGATGGTGTGAACAGGCCTTTTTTCTAATGGCAGGACACTCTTCCATTTCTATTAAATCAATATTTCATATGTGAATCAATATAATGTATTATAGGTTTTGCATTTTTGCATTCTAAAATCCGTCAAAACATTTTTTGAAATTTTTTTGTAACGCAGGTACTGAAGTTTGCTACTGACAAGTTTTGTACATATACGCGTCACATTAGTGTATGTATTTGTGACCAAAATTACCTTTTCGCATTTACCTAAGACACTGAATGAATTTTTCTGTGTGCAGGCACTTAAACTGGACTGCAGTCTCTCTGACGGACAGTGTGAATCATGGCTCTTCCGTTTAAGAAAGATCTAGAGAAGTATAAGGAGATTGATGAGGATGAGATTCTGAACAAGCTGTCAGAGGAGGAGCTCAAGCAATTGGAGATTGCTCTAGATGAGATCGACCCTGAGGTGAGAAATTGTAAACTCGGTTTACTCACATGATGGAGATTTACCAGATCATACTGCTAGAACGAAGGGATCAGTTAATAATGGGTTTGTTCACCCAAAAATTAAAAATCTGTATGACTTGCTTTCTTCTGTGGAGCAAAAAAGAAAAAATTTGAAGAATGCTGGTAACAGTTTTGTTGACTATTGACTTAGATTGTATAGACAGGCTAAGAATGTTACCTATTTTTAATTTTACTGTACCTTTTAAGCACATGCAAATTACAAGTGTGGAAAATCAGTCCTAAATATGGTTGTTAAAATGTGGAAAATTTCCAGTAAATTTCGGAAATATTCCAGAAATTTTGGAAACTTTCCAGGATTTTTTTAATATTCCAGGGATTTTTGGAAAGTTTCCGGAAATTTACCCGAAATTTTCCACCCCTTTGCAACCCTAGTCCTAAAGATAGAAAATTAATCATTTGTAATTAATAATACGTTGTATGTATTGCGAAAAGGCTTACAAAAACCAGCCGCAAACAATCACCATGTCATTCCTGGTAATTCACTGATAGCCAAGAGATGATGTAATTCACAATGCTGTTATTGTGATGATGGGTGTGGTCGTATATAATTTTGAACTGCAACAATAATGTGTTGGTAAAGTAAAATCACTTGTTTTGTCGAACTGTTGAAAATGGCCATTTCCAAATCTGCCTTGAGGAGGTTCTGGTAAGACCTCTCATAAACAACTCTGTCTGTTTGTTTATGAGTAAACGGAGCTCAAGTTTGCTCCCAAACACAAGAGCTTCCTCTTAAGCAAAAATATCTCAGCTGCTTTTCCTATTAAGCAACAATTTAGAAAACAGCACAATTTTGACATTTAGTGCACAGGTTCACATCATTACCAAGCAAATGCAAATAATAGTTATTATTTAATTCAAAATTAAGCAATGGATTTTGTGTAACTTGGCATGAAATTTGTGAGATATAAAAGTTCCATAGTATAACTGGTACCACATCTGTTCTGAATCCATTTTCCAGAATGCTTTGCTGCCAGCCGGCCTCAGGCAGAAGGACCAGACCACAAAAGCAGACACAGGTTCTTTTAACCGCGAAAAACTGCTGCAGTATCTGGAGAAGGAGGCTATGGACTATAAAGACAGAGAAGATTGCGTCCCCTTCTCCGGAGAGAAGAAAGGTACAAGGATGATATTTTTGATATCCCTCTGATATTTGATACTGCAGTAAACATTAACAGAAACACCACAAAAAAAATCTCATCTCTCATTCTGATGGAATTGGATGTAGTGGTGCAACGGATCACAAAACTCACGGTTCGGATCATATTACGGATTTTGAGTCACGAATCGGATCATTTTTCGGATCAGCAAAAAAAAAAAAAAATTTTTGTGAAAGCATACTTTAAGTAATTAAATACCACAGCAAAAACTACTAGCTTAACTAATAAAGTTAATAATAAAACAAGAACAATTACACAAATTAGAAGCATAGATGAATACAACAAAACCGTTACAAATAAAGTCAGTAACAGTAGCATTCAGGTGCAGAAATGTAATAATTAAGTGTAAAATACAATAGTGCTCACTGCTAGGCATGTCGCAATAATCAATATATCGACTTATCGTGCAATATATGTACATGACCTCAATACTTTATGGTGACGCAATATAACATCCATTATATTTACTTAAAAATTAATGTCACCATGTTTTTTGCATTCCACTTGCGCCAGTGTCTTTTGCAGCTCATGAGATGCTCGTTCAAATTTTAAAAATGCTTCTACAAACAAAGTTTCATCTGCAGATACGATCTTGTTTAGGGATCTGTGCCTTTGTGCATACGGACATCTGACTGCTAAGTAGTGATTGTGTTTTTCAGCAATAGTGTGCACCCTTAATTTACAGAGAAAAGAAGGTCAGGGAAAATCTGTAAATGGAAAAACCTCCATACAAGTTCTTTGTGCATTTTTCTTTTTTTCTACTTGTTACTTTGCACTTTTTGTTAGAAAATGTTTATTTTTCTATTTATTCAGTTTTTTTTTTAAGGCATCGAATATTTTGATACTTAATTTCCATTATCTAAATATTCTTAAAAATTAAAAGTTAGTTGTCATTTGGAAGTGTGTAGGCCTTCTTGCATTATTATGCTATTATATTATGATTATATGAAGAGTTCATTTGCAAAAACCGATAACCGCCACTTTAAAAAAAAATTAAATGATTGCCGTGCATTATTCTCCACATATAGCGCGATCTGAACCCTAAACACATTTTGCCATAAAAGCTGGTTTTGTCCACTTTCAAGGCATCACGAGTTCACGTTTTATTGCAGAAGCCGACAAGCGCCCTTGTTGTTTTTGAACAGAAGCCGATAAGTCCATTTTAGTGAATCGGCGCACTGTATTCCACATATAGCGCGATCTGAACCCTAAACACATTTTGCCATAAAAGCTGGTTTTGTCCACTTTCAAGGCATCACGAGTTCACGTTTTATTGCAGAAGCCGACAAGCGCCCTTGTTGTTTTTGAACAGAAGCCGATAAGTCCATTTTAGTGAATCAGCGCGCTGTATTCAGGTCAGGTGACAAGGCTACTTACGAACTTGATGAACCTGTGATATCATCTTCAGGGTGAAAAAGGAAAATAAAAGCTGAAACGTTTTCATGGAATCTTGCAAAAGCAGCGCGTTACAATGGCGGGGGAAAAGCTCTGTCTATTGCGTGTAATCACATCCATACAGTTTATGATCACAACAACAACAACGTTTGTCAGGCATCTACATTGTCATCTGAGGAGATTACAAAGGTTAAACGAGTGTTTTTTAAACTCTAAAACATGAAATGTGGAGTTATCTGCTTTTACCAAAAAAAAAGACTGTTGGAGTTATCTGCTCTTACTATAAAACAAACTTTTAATATGTAAAAAAATACATACTTTCAGTGAACTTTAATTTTGCAAATCACCTATTTGTTTAAGTTATTATTACTTAATCAAAACAGCCCAACTGCAGTTTAATTGATATTACTTGGAATGCGCAATAAAAAAAACGTGATTTCTAAAAAAAAAAAAAAAAAGTTATCGGTGGGTTTTTGTTAAATGTGAGCCAAAATCATCACAATTAAAAGAACCAAAGACTTAAATTACTTCAGTCTGTGTGCATTGAATTTATTTAATACACGAGTTTCACAATTTGAGTTGAATTACTGAAATAAATGAACTTTTCCACAACATTCTAATTTATTGAGATGCACCTGTATATTTCTCTTTACTACTGTAGTACATAATGAACATGAATTGGCATCAAAACGTAGGTTATTTTATAAGAAAGCCTACAGTACAACTTACTGAAATGTCTCGTGTAAAAGCTCAAACTGCGAAAAACGTGTAAAGCTTGTAAACATTGCAACGTAATATACATTTACTTCAGAATAACCATTCGGTGTCCATAAGCTCATCAGTTGGCTAGAAAAATAACTATATAGAAGAGCATTTTGCTATATTTATGCGCTATTGGATGTTAATATTTTACTTAACCTGTTGTCTACATGATTCAACTTCTCCTATACAAAATTGCATTTTACTGATAAAGAAAAACAGACTGAATGTGTGAAAGACATATGACAACACTTATAGGATGTACTGAGGAGGAGCCCAAACTACACTCAGTGGTGATGCTTATGGTTAGTGCTGGGCGGTATACCGGTTCATACCGAATACCGGTGTTTAATAAATGAGTACAAAACAGTGTTTCCTAGCACCTGTCGCTTACTCATTGTTTGGAATTATAAATATGAGCGTAGTTCATCTGTTAATATCACATGCACTGCGCAGGCAGTGCGCTGCATGAGACAAAAAAGTAATATAGCCAAAGCAACCTCTTTAGTGTAGATGCATGTTGATTTTATCAGACGATGCTGCGATTATAAATGCGAGTGACTCCTGGTTACCATGTATTAAAAGGGGTCGTGTTTAGTCACTATTTAGTGTGGTATTTTTTGACAATATTCACTCATCATGACAGTAAAACAGGGCATTCTAAGTCAATATACTGCAGTATTTCCTCTCTCAATCAGTAGAAAATATGGTTAACACCCGGTCATGCATGAAAAAAAATACCGTCATGTTCCGTGAAACCAGTATCATTTTTAAAAATACTGTGATATACATTTTTGGTCATACCTCCCAGCACTACTTATGGTCCATATTATTTGTACAGATTCTGTGTCATGAACTATTCTTTGTGACTATATATTTCAAGTTGGAAAAGATGTTTAATTCCCACTTTAAGTGAACCTTAGTTCCCAGGTCATCTACAAGATCGATTAAAATGCTGATAATTTCAAGAAGAGACATAAACACATGAAAGTATGATTGAAATGTAATAAATAAATAAATAAAACCCGTTTATTCTGTGGCACCTAAAAAAATAATTTGGAGACTAAAATTTTTTCTTATAGGAGCCAATGGCTCCTTACGTGATTTTTTTTTTTGTTTGGAACCCTGTCATTACTCATCCCCATTTTATTTCAGACCCTTATGACTTAATTTCCTTCCAGGAACACACAGGACGTTTAGTAGAGTAGTTATAGTAGATAGTTGTTATTTTTACAAATAAAGAAACAAATGAGGCAGACTTAATTTTAAAATGGCATGCTCTTCTTATTTTGGGGAGATGCCGACCTCTGCAGCTCTGTCATTGGATAAATAATCCATCACATAAAAGCCTTGACTTCTCCTTTGACATCCATTCCTGCTGTAGAACAGCTTTACACTTAGTTTTGCTAACCTTCTTGGACGCTCTTGTTAAGACACGTTTATGGTTCTTTATGTCCTTTTGAAGCTTGAACGTATACGTCACTGTCCTTTTTTGTTTATATGGAAAAGAACAAGTCATGCAGGTTTGCTGAGTAAATAAATGACAGAATTTTCTTTTTTTTGGGGGGTGAACTTTTATCAGCATCCAAAATTGCATGTTCTTAGAGGGTTCTTGTTTTGAATAAGTACCTACTTTGCAAACTTTGTTTTACATGGAATGAATGTAATCTGGACGTACTGCATACGTCATGTTGTTATTGTCATGTGACCTACGGCATCACTTGAGTCGCTTCATTGCCACTCGTCTTCTGTGGCCTTATGGGATAGTAAAGTGTCTACTGGTAGGTTTAATGATGAGGGGGTGGAGACAGGTAGGTTTAGGGATATGTAAGGTGGGAGGAGTTGGATCTGGATCTGGATCCAACCTCGCCCCCTCGATCTTGTGTTCTGCAGTGAGGACCATATCTGGTTTTGCGGCAGTTTTTACAGCTTTTCTCATAATTGTCACTCACTGCTCAGGCTGTGTGTGAGCCTTCCATATCCTCCTGCTGTGTGTCAATTAGAGTGCTGTATCAGCTCCTGTAGTGATTTAGACACTCCTGTCTCTGCAGGTATGATTAACCCCTTAGCTGTCAAAGATCGCGACAGCCCCAGATTATTGTTGTTTCACTTTCACAGCACGTTAAAACATCACACTCTTACTTGATCTGGACAAACTGTGCATCAGTAGAAAGATTAAAGACTCTAGCTTTGATATTTGACCACTGTTTTGATAAAACTTTGTTGCAGTGAGAGTAATTTAGTAATTTATGTCAGGAGTGCAAAACAATGCGTCATATTTAGAATAGAAATTCACCACGCATTCATATTCAGTCATGTCTGCAGCGGTTTATTTGTGTTCACATAGCTTCACTGAACAGCGTCAATAAGGGCTTATAGTCCAAATATGCATATACATGGAGATATATAGATACAGTGGGTTAAGCCAGTACATGTCCAGGCCTGTCTGAAGTTTGCTAGAGAGCATTTGGATGATCCAGAAGAGGATTGGGAGAATGTCATATGGTCAGATGAAACCAAAATATAACTTTTTGGTAAAAACTCAACTTGTCGTGTTTGGAGGAGAAAGAATGCTGAGTTGCATCCAAAGAACACCATACCTACTGTGAAGCATGGGGGTGGAAACATCATGCTTTGGGGCTGTTTTTCTGCAAAGGGACCAGGACGACTGATCCGTGTAAACGAAAGAATGAATGGGGCCATGTATCGTGAGATTTTGAGTGAAAACCTCCTTCCATCAGCAGGGGCATTGAAGATGAAATGTGGCTGGGTCTTTCAGCATGACAATGATCCCAAACACACCG